AAGGTTTTTTATATAGGTAAACATGTATCACCAGGGATGTTGTACAGATTATTTCATCACCCAGGTATTAAGCACAGTACCCAACAGTTATTTTTTCTGCAACTGGGCACAGTGGCTCACGCCTGTAATCCCAACACTTTGGGAGGCTGAGGCAGGCAGATCACTTGAGGTCAGGAGTTCAAGACCAGCCTGGGTGACATGGAGAAACCCAGTTTCAACTAAAAATACAAAAATTAGCCGTGTGCAGTAGCGGGCACCTGTAATCCCAGCTACTCGGGAGGCTGAAGCATGAGAATTGCTTGAACCCAGGAGGCAAAGGTTGCCGTGAGCCGTGATCATGCCACTGCATTCCAGCCTGAGTAACAGACCAAGACTCTGTCTCAAAAGAAATGTTACCTTTTTTACTCCTCTTCATCCTACTCTCCGCTCTCAAGTAGACCCCACCAACCGTGTCTGTTGTTTCCTTCTTTGTATTCATAAGTTCTTATCATTTAGCTTCCACTTATAAGTGAGACATGCAGTGTTTGGTTTTCTTTATTAGTTTGCTAATCCACGTTCATCCACGTTCCTGCAAAAGACGTGATCTTCTTTTTTATGGGGGCGTAGTACTCCATGGTATATTTGTACCACGTTTTCTTTATTCAGTCTGTCATTGACATGCATTTAGGTTGATTCCATGTCTTTGCTATTGTGAATAGTGCTGCAATGAACATTCCCGTGCGTGTGTTTTATGGTAGAATGATTTATATTCTTCTGGGTATATTCCCAGTAATAGGATTACTGGGTCAAATGGTAGTTCTGCTTTTAGCTCTTTGGTTTTTTTTTTTTTTTTTTTCCTTTAGACCAAATCTCACTCTGTCATCCAGACCAGAGTCCAGAAGTATGATCTCAGCTCACTGCAGCCTCCACCTCTGGAGTTTAGTGATTCTCCTGCCTCAGCCTCCTGAGTAGCTGGGATCATGATGGAAAAGCTTTTTGATGTGCTGTTGCAATTGGTTTGCCAGTATTTTATTGAAGATTTTTGCATCTATGTGCATCATGGATATTGGCCTGAAGTTTTCTTTTTTTGTTGAGTCTGCTGCATTTTGGTATCAGGATGATGTTGGTCTCATAAAATGATTTGGGAAGGATTCCTTCTTTTTGGATGGTTTGTAATAGTTTCAGAAGGAGCAGTACCAACTACTATTTGTATGTCTGGTAGAATTTGCCTGTGAACCCATCTGGGCCTGGGCTTTTTTTGGTTGGTGGGCTATTAATTGCTGCCTCAGTTTCATCCCTTATTATTGGTTTAGTCAGGGTTTTGACTTCTTCCTGGTTTAGGCTTGGGAGGGTGCAGTGTCTAGGAACTTATCCATTTCTTCCTGGTTTACAGGTTTGTGTGCATAGAGTTGTTTGTAGTAATCTCTGATGTTCATTTGTATTTCTGTGGAATTGGTGGTGATCTCCCCTTTATAATTTTTGATTGCGTCTATTTGATTCTTCTCTCTTTTCTTTTTTATTAATCTGGCTAGCAGTCTATTTTGTTGATCTTTTCGAAAAACCAGCTCCTGGATTTATTGATTTTTTGAAGAGTATTTTGTGTCTCTATCTCCTTCGGGTCTGCTCTGATCTTAGTTATTTCTTGTCTTCTGCTAGGTTTCCAGGTTTTTTTGGATCTTGCTCCTCTAGCTCTTTCAATTTTGACAATAGGGTGTCAATTTTAGATTTTTCCTTGCTTCTCATGTGGGCATTTATTACTATACATTTTCCTCTAGGGACTGCTTTAAATGTGTCCCAGAGATTCTGGTACGTTGTGTCTTTGTTCTGTTTGGTTTCGAAGAACTTCTTTATTTCTGCCTTCACTTCATTGTTTATCCAGTCAACATTCAAGAGCCAGTTGTTCTGTTTCCATGAAGTTGTGTGGTTCTCAGTTAGTTTCTTAATCCTGAGTTTTAATTTGATTGCACTGTGGTCTGAGAGACTGTTATGGTTTCTGTTCTTTTGCATTTGCTGAGGAGTGATTTACTTCCAATTATGTAGTCAATTTTAGAGTAGGTGTGATGTGGTGCTGAGAAGAATGTATATTCTGTGGATTTGAGGTGGAGAGTTCTATAGATGTCTTAGGTTTGCTTGGTCCAGGTTTGAGTTCAAGTCCTGGGTATCCTTGTTAATTTTCTGTATCATTGATCTGTCTAATAGTGACAGTGGAGTGTTAAAGCCTCCCACTATTATTGTGTGGGAGTCTAGGTCTCCTTGTAGGTCATTAAGAACTAGCTTTATGTATCTGGGTGCTTCTATATTGGGTGCGTATATATTTAGGATCATTAGCTTTTCTTGTTACATTGATCCTTTTACCATTATGTAATGCCCTTCTTTTACTCTTTTAATCTTTGTTGGTTTAAAGTCTATTTTATCAGAGACTAGGATTGCAATTCCTGCTTTTTTTGTGCTCTCCATTTGCTTGGTAAATCTTCCTCCATCCCTTTATTTTGATTCTATGTATGTCCTTGCATGTGAGATGGGTTTCCTGGATACAGTACACTGATGGGTTTTGACTTTTTATTCAATTTGCCAGTCTATGTCTTTTGATTGGGGTATTTAGCCCATTTACATTTAAGGTTAATGTTGTTATGTGTGAATGTGATCCTGCCATTTTGATGCTAGCTGGTTGTTTTGTTAACTAACTCCATTAGTTGATGCAGTTTCTTCATTGGGTTGATGGTTTTTACTATTTGGTATGTTTTTGGAGTGGCTGGTAATGGTTGTTCCTTTCTATGTGAAGTGCTTCTTTCAGGGCTCTTGTAAGGCAGGCCTGGTGGTGATGAAATCTCTGAGCAATTGCTTGTTCATAAAGGATTTTATTTTTCCTTTGCTTATGAAGCTTAGTTTGGCTGGATATGAAATTCTACATTGAAAGTTCTTTTCTTTAAAGATGTTAAATATTGACCCCCACTCTCTTCTGGCTTGTAGGGTATCTGCTGAGAGATCTGCTGTGAGTCTGATGGGCTTCCCTTTGTGAGTAACCTAACCTTTCTCTCTGGCTGCCCTTAGCATTTTTTCCTTCATTTCAGCCCTGGTGAATCTGATGATTATGTGCCTTGGGGTTGCTCTTCTTGAGGAATATCTTTGTGGTGTTCTCTGTATTTCCTGGACTTGAATGGTGGCCTGCCTTGCTAGGTTGGGGAAGTTCTCCTGGATAATATCCTGAAGAGTGTTTTCCAGCTTGGATTCATTCTCCCTGTCACATTCAGGTACACCTATTAAACGTTGATTAGATCTTTTCACATAATCCCATATTTCTTGGAGGCTTTGTACATTCTTTTCACTCTTTTTTCTCTAATCTTGCCTTCTCATTTTATTTCATTGAGTTGATCTTCAATCTCTGATATCCTTTCTTCTGCTTGGTCTATTTGGCTGTTGAAACTTGTGTATGCTTTGCAAAGTTCTCATGTTTTTCAGCTTCATTATGTCATTTTTATTCTTCTCTAAGCTGTTTATTCTTGTTAGCATTTCGGGAAACCTTTTTCAGGGTTCTTAGTTTCTTTGCATTGGGTTAGAACATGTTCTGTTAGCTCAGAGAAGTTTGTTGTTACCCACCTTCTGAAGCCTGTTTGTGTCAATTCATCAGACTCATTCTCCATCCAGCTTTGTTCCTTTGCTAGTGATAAGTTGCGATCCCTTGGAGGAGGAGAGGCATTCTGATTTTGGTTGTTTTCATCCTTTTTGCATTGGTTTCTTTCCATCTTTGTGGATTTATCTACCTGTGGTCTTTGTAGCTGGTGACTTTCAGATGGGGCCTCTGAGTGAATGTCCTTTTTGTTGATGATTAAGTTATTTCTTTCTGTTTTTTAGTTTTCTTTCTAACAGTCAGGCCCTTCTGCTGCAGGACAGCTGGAGGTCTACTCCGGACCCTGCTTGCCTGGGGATTACCTGCAGTGGCTGCAGAACAGTAAGGGTTGCTGCCAGTTTCTTCTTCTGTTATCTTCGTCCCAGAAGGATACCTGCCAGATGTCAGCCTGAGCTCTCCTTAATGAGGTGACTGGACATATGGAGGTCAGGGAGTTGCTTGAGGAGACAGTCTGTCCTTTATAGGAGCTCAATTGCTAAGCTGTGAGCTCTGTTGTTCTGTTCAGAGCTGCTGGGCAGGTATGTTTAAATCTGCTGCAGCAGAACTCATAACTCCCTTTTTTCCCAAGTGCTCTGTCCTGGGAAGGTGGGGTTTTACTTATAAGTTCCTGATGTGCTGCTGCCTTTTTTCAGAGCTACCCTGCCCAGCAAGGAGGTAGCCTAGTCACAGTCTGCCAGCAGAGGCATTGCTGAGCTGCCATGGGCTCTGCCCAGCTGCTGTGTGAACTTCCTTGTGGTTTTGTTTATAGAGGTATAGTTAGAACTGCCTTGGTAATGATGGTCTGCCTCAGTAATGGCGGACTGCCTTGGTAATGGTGGACTGCCTCAGTAGTGGCAGATACCCTTCCCCCACAGAGCTGGACCACACTAGGTCCAGCTGTGCTTGCTGTGAATCTTTCAGTCCAGAGTATTTCAGATTGCTGGTCTTTGTGGGGCTGGGACTCACTGAGCCAGATCACCTGGCTCCCTATTTAGGCCCCTTTTTTTAGTTGAGTGGGCGGCTCTGTCTCCCAGGCATTCCAGGCGCCAGTTGAAACAGCGGCCCAGATTTGTGTGAGTTTTTATGTGGAGACCCGCTGCACCAGCTGAAACAGCCATGCTGGAAACGTGTGGTGCTATTCAGCCCGGGAATCTCCTGGTCTGTGGGCAGTAATAACTCATTTGGAAATGCAGTGTTCACTCACCTTCTGTGTTGTTCTCACTGGGAACTGCACTCCAGAGCTGTTCCTATTTGGCCATCTTGGATCTGTCCATTATATATGTTTTAAATGGAGAAATTAATCCATTTACATTAAAACTTATTATTGATATGTGAAGCTTTGTTACTGTCATGTTGTTAACTGTTTTCTGTTTTTTTAAAAAATCTTTTCTTTTTCTCTTTTTTTTTCTTTCAGTCTTTGGAGAGACTGCCAAAAATTGCCAATGCTGACTATATTGCAAGTTGTCAGAGTAGGGTATTGGGAAAAGTTTTCAATTAGCAATAATTGCATCTTGGATAAACCTCATTGGCTATAATACTGCCATTGTGCTCAGCCTCTTTTCTTTTTCTCTTATTGATTGTTGTGATTTGATGGATTTCTGTAGTGGTACCATTTGAGTCATTTCTCTTTCTCCTTTGTGTGATTAATTTAGCAGTGAGTTTTATACTTTTGTGTGTTTTTTTATAGTAAATGTTACCCATCCTCCTCTTCCTCCTCCTCTTCTTCTTCCTTCTCTTCCTCTTCTTTTTGCAACAGAGCCTTGCTCTGTCATCCAGACTGGAGTGTAGTGGTGCAATCTCTGCTTACTGCAACCTCCACCTCCTGGGTTCAAGTGATTCTCATGCCTCAGCCTCCTAAGTAGCTGGGAAGGTATGCATCACCATTCCTGGTTAATTTTTGTATTTCTAGTAGAGACAGGGTTTTGCCATGTTGGCTAGGCTGGCCTTGAACTCCTGGCCTCAAGTGATCTGCCCACCTCGGCCTCCCAAAGTGCTGGGATTACAGGTGTGAGCCACTGCACCTGGTCTAAATGTTATCCTTTTACTTCTAGGTTTGGGACTCTTGAGTATTTCTTGTAGAACTGGTCTAATGGTAAGAAATTCCCTCATCATTTGCTTGTCAGGGAAGGACTTTATTTCTCCTTTATTTATGAAGGATAATTTTGCTGGATATAGTATTAGCGGTTGGCATCCACCACCCCCAGCACTTTGAATATATCATTCTGTTCTCTGGACTGTGGGTTTTCTGCTGAGAAATATAGTATTTGTCCTATGGGGTTTCCTTTTTAGGTGACTAGATGCTTTGCTTTTGCTATTTTTAGGATTAGCTCTTTATCTTTGACTTCAGACAGTATGATTATAATGTGTTGGAGACAATCTTTATATATTGGCTCTTCCTGGGGATTGCCAAGCCTATTGTGTCTGAATGTCTAAGTCTATTGCTAGACTTGGGAGGGTTTCATCTATTATTTTATTACATAGGTTTTCTAATCCTTTCTTTGTTTTTGTACCCTCAGGGATACTGATTATTTTTGCTTTAAGTTGTCCCAAGTGTCACAAAGGTTTTGTTCCTTCTTTTTTATTATTTTTTTCTGACTGGATTATTTCAAAAAAACCTGTTTTCAAGTTTTGAGATTATTCTGCCCAATCTAGCCTATTGTTAAAGCTTTCAAATGTATATCGTATTGCCTTCAATGATTTCTTCAGTTCTAGAGTTTCTATTTGGTTCTTTAAAAAAATATCTATCTCTTTGGTAAATTTCTCATGCATATCCTGAATTGTTTCTCTGATTTATTTACAATTTTTAGAATTCTCTTGTATTTCACTGAGCTTCTCTAAAATCAATATTTTGACTTATTTATTTGCAATTTTTGAAAATGTCTTTTTGATTATGATCTATTGCTGGATAATTACTGTGTATATTTGAAGGTGTTATATCTCCTTGACTTTTCATGTTAACTGTGATATGTTTACTTTCATGTTATTGTGAATATTCTTACATCAATATCTCCATATCTGATATAATGGTCACTCTTCCTATTTTTAAATTTACTTTTGTAGGGAAAGACTTTTTCCTAAAAATGTATCTGTAGTGTTGGTTGGGTAGGGCACTTTGGCTTTGATTCTGGGTGTGTGTAGTAATGTAGTCTTTTTTTTTAATTTCTCTGGCTGTAAACAGTATTAGTGCCATCTGCAATTTCCTTGGTGGGTTAGGATGTGTGAAGTTGTGCTGGGGACTGGGATGCTCTGTTAGTCAGGCTTCAGGCCCCAGTAGTGGTAGCAATGGGCCAACTATGCCTATCTTGGTGTGGTTCAGGGTAGTGTACACTGACACCTGTGGTGGAAGTTACCAGTGGGCCAATTCTTAGACCTCCAGATGGCTTGCTTGGATGCTGGTAATGGCAGCAGTGGAGTATGTGGGTGGGCAGGATCTCAGGCCTCTGGGCAGCCAGTGTGGCATGGGCAGTGGCAAGTAGCCCATCAGTGGAGTGATTCTCTGGGTTCCAAGCAGTGTGCATGGATGTTGGCTGTGGCTGTGGCTGTGATGGGCTGAGTGGGCCAGACTCCAGGCCCGCAGGTGGTGCTTGCAGGCAGGTGCCAGCTGAGGTGGTAGAAGTTGAGAGTTTAGGCCCAATCTCAGGTCCCTGGGAGAAGTGCTTAGGTGCTCAAGGTGGTTGAGTGGGTTGGGTAATCCTCTGGACTCCAAGGTATATGCTCTATTTCAGAGAGGTAGGTAAAGCCAGGCTGGGTGGGCTTGTGCTCAGGCTCCACAATGATGAGAGTAGGCACCAGCCATGGTTTGCAGGGGCAGGGTGATCGTCAGACCACAGATGGAGTGCTTGGGTAAACGGTGGTAGCAGCTGCACCAAGGCCCTGCCACTGGAGAGGGTGGGGCCATCCTCAGTGGCCACAGCCTGGGCCAGAGGGTAGGAAAAGCACATCTCTCTTATGCCCTGGTTCCAGTGGAGCTTGTTCCCCACCCCAGCAGTGTAGCCTGTTCCTAGCTTATGCCCCCTCCCTGTCTACAGGAGCTCCCACCTAGCTGGTGACTAAGACCAAGCTGCAGCTCACACCCTGCTAGCATCTGAGTCTCTATACCAGTGGCACTCACTTCTTGGCACCAACAGCTGCTGCCCACACCTTGCTTGCTTCTTACCTCTGGCTATGGGTTACTTCCAGCTCAGTCCCCAGTCCCAGTAGCAACAGTCTCTGTAATGCCTCAATCTTGGCACCACTGGGCCCCAGGACAGTGTGTAGTCTGCCAAAGGGTAGGTCTGAAAATGGCACCTTGCCATAGCTGCTTAGGCTCTGAAAGGGTGTGGGACCCAACGTGAGCTCCTCCCTGGAGTGGTTCCATCTCATGATCTCTTAGCAGCTCCTTATGTTAGTTTCAGGGGTTGGGAGGGTTGAGGGGCTCTCTTGTGACAGGACTACAGACTCCGTGGTGGGGACTAGGGCCTCTGGAAGTCACTCACCCTTTCCTCGCCTTGGGAATTTACTCCTGCTCCCAGTCCATCCCCTCCAGAAGGCTGTCTCTCTCTCCCTTCTCCTTACCTGCTTTCTGGTGTTTCTTGTTACTTCTCTGTTGAATTCCAACATTCTCTCTTGAATGGTGTATTTAAAGTATGACTATTTATATATACTACGTGGAAGAGGTGGACACAAAATGCTTCTAATTAGCCATCTCGAAGCCCCTCTTCAGCTTTCTTTTTTTTTTAGAACAATTTTAGATTTGCACAAAGTTGAGAAGTTTAGAAAGTTCCGTGTACTTACACCCAGTGCACTCTATTACTAACATCTCACATGAGTGCACATTTGTTACAACTAATAAACCATAATTGATACTTTACCAACTGAGGTCCATGCTTTCTTCAGAATTCCTTGATTTTTACCAAATGTCCTTTTTCTGTTCCAGGATCTTTCAGCTAGTGGTTGTGTCTCCTCAGGATCTTCTTGGCTGTAATGGTTCAGTCTCCCTTTTTATGCCAATTGTTTTGTTTGGTCATTTACTTATTTATTTTTGAGATGGAGTCTGACTCTGTCACCCAGGCTGGAGTGCAGTGGTGCAATCTTTGCTCACTGCAGCCTCTGCCTCCTGGGTTCAAGCAATTCTCCTGCCTCAGCCTCCCAAGTAGCTGGGATTAGAGGCATGCGCCACTAGATGTGGATAACTTTTGTATTTTTGGTAGACACGGGTTTCACCCAGGCTGGTCTCAAACTCCTGGCCTCAGGTGATCCTCCTGCTTCAGCCTTCCAAAGTGCTGGGATTACAGGTGTGAGCCACCGCACCTGGCCCTAACTGTTTTAGATTATTCACTATTGTGATTATGAAATGAATTCATGGTGAATGCCTATACACATAGTTGAAAAATCAATATAATGACCTAAATTATAATAGAGGAGGAATAAAAGTAAAGCAATACATAATTAATATTTAAGTGCTTACTTGGAGCTACACCAGAGGTCATAAAGAAGTAGTCAGATATTTGTACCTATTTATAATTTAAGAACAAGGAGACAAGCACTCTAGAATATTAATTACACTTTTTCTTAATTTTGTTGTTATTTTGAAACAGGAGCTGAAGAAATATACACATGTGGAATTACTGGGCCTGTAGGCATCATATATGTGTTGATTGCTGAAATGGATACTATGAATAGAACTGGCTTCTGTATCCCAATTTTCTAAAATGGTAAACAGAATACCATCCCTTTCTAGACTTATACAGTAGTTGCATTTTCAGAAAATCCTGTGTATATTCACAAGATGCAAAAACATTTTGTGTTTATTTGTAAAACAAAATTAAAGTTTCAATGCGATTAGATGCACATTTTAACTGAAGCAAACATCAGGTCTGACATATGAAAGCCGTGTGGGACACAGACCAATCTTCTGCATCTGGGGCTACCCCCAACTAAATGTCAGTGGCTCCCTCCCATCATTGTGATGACCAATGAAAGTACCTGCAAATTTCCAAAATGCCCCCTAGGGGGCAGTACCCCTGTGGATTATGGTGGTGGGCAGAGGTTGGCAGATTGGCATTCATTTGTTCATTCGTTAAATGAGGACAGTAGTAGCTGAATGAGGGGGACAGGGCATGTAAAACACTTAGCTAGGTGCCTGGCACATGGTATGTCCTCCCAACATGTAAACTAGTGCTATCTTCCAGTTAATCAGCAGGGATTGTTTGAGGTGACCCTGTGTCCTTGATATCCAAGTAGGTATGTGTGAGTAAGGAATGCGGATCAGGCAAGCACCCACCATCCGTGCCCCACACGTGAAATAAACAGTGAATTATTAATCAATTACAGTTCAGAAAAAGGAGCACCCAGAGAGGAGCTGGAGTCAGAGAAATCTTTCTGGAAAAGACAGTAGTGGCTTGTTTAATGAGGGCAGCTGAAACATAATGGGAAATTTATTTATTCCACGCATAACAAACAATTCCTAGATCCTTGCTTCTCAAAGTATGCTCCTCAGACCTGCAGCATCGGGAGGTTTGTTCAAAACAGAATCTCAGCCTGGTAGAAAACAAAAAAAGAAACTTTTAACCTGAGGAATGAAAGCCCCTACATTATCAGCCCCAGAGACTTACTGGAATGAAACAGCAGCAGGTGACAGACAACCCCTTGAGTGAAATAATGATCTCTAGGAGCCACTGACTATGTGGGCTCTAGACTAATTTATGCCAACTAGCCATAAAATGGCCATACACCAGACACCATAACTCCTACCTGACAGTTCAACAATCTACAGCCCATCACTAACCCAAGTTATCTCTGCAAACCAATGAGGATTCCTGTCACACAACTTTATATCGGCCCTCTCTTTGGTCCCTTTGCCTTTAAAAACCTGCTTATAACAAAGGCTGATGGAGCACTCCTCAAGGCAACTTTGAAATGTCCTGGGTAGCTGTCTTTATTTGGGCTCAAGAAAATTCTTTCAATTATATTTTGTGCCTCAGCCTCTTCCTTTTAGGTCGACAGCTTCTATCCCAGACTGACTGAATTAGAAGCTGCATTTTTCTAAGAAAAATTGCTGGTGTTCATTGGCACACAAACCTTTGTGATGTGCTGGACTTACAGAACCAACAGAGGAACTAGTGGAAAGAATGATGATACCAGCTCCTCTGGTGAGAATCTGCTGCAGACTGTGTGTGTGTGTGATAGAGAGAGAGAGAGAAAGAGAGAGAGGGAGAGAGAGAGAGAGAGAGAGAGAGAGAGAGAGAGAGAGAGAGAGAGAGAGAGAGAGAAAGGCACAGAGCTAGATGGTCCATGTTGTGGAGAGTAATCACAAAGGGTGGTTGCAGAACAACTGGGATCAGAATATGTTCGAGGAGGGAGGTGGGAGGGCTTTAAAGGAAGGTTCCCAGCCAGACCCCAGATCTATTGAATCTCAGAGAGCCAGGGAGGAATAATGATTTTTTTTAAAGCCCCCAGATGACTCTTAGAATGGGGAAGGGCCTTATAAAATACCCATGCCAACATTCCAGCCCAGAATGATCATGTTAAATATGGCATCGGAATCTCTAGCAGTTGAAGCTTGGGTATTTTTGTTCTTAGTCTTCCAGGTGATACTTCGAGAGCCATTGATGGGGGTTAAATGGGACAGACTGGAGGAGAAAAGTCAAGGAGATGGCCCTGCAAATATATCTGAGGGATGTTCTATCTCAGAGGAAAGAACCAGGATTAGCGGGTAGAGATTTTCATTGTTTTTATCCAAGTAACAGTAACATTTTTTTTTTTTTCTTTGCAGCAGGAAGGGATCTTTGAAATGACCTAGTTCAACTCTTTCAGTTTGTAATTGAAGAAATTAATGGTCAACAAAATAAAGTGAGTTGGTCAAGGTCAACTCAGATCTTCTCATTCAAATCCAGCAACAATAACAACAGCAATGAAATAAAACGAGACCCCTTTCCCCATTTCTGGTGATATTTCCAGTGTACCACAAAGGCATTTAAATCCTACTGGCATTTCAATCACAAGCAAAGCAGACATGAAAAAGGAAAAGGGTGACTCTTTAAGAAACAAGGGGGACACCTTTATGTGAGGAATTGACATTTTGGAGTATCCAGATTAAATTCAGAGACTGGTATCAATACAAAGTCGAAAGCCAGACTCTACAGCTTGGATGTTGATACCATTGAAACAGTAGAGACAGAAAAGGTGTGATATCTTTCCTCCCCACCATAAGGGGCGTGGCTAACATGCTTATAACAAAAGACAGATTAATAAGAGAAAAGTGTAACCAGTTTATTGAATCAAAGTTTTATGTGATACACGAGCCTTCAGAAATGAACATGCAAAGACTCAGGGAAAACCATTTTTATGCTTAGATTCAGTGAAGAATGGAGAGCCTTGTAGAAATGTGATTGGACAAAGGGTGTGATCTAATGGTAATGGACTGAGGAGTGAACCCAGCAAGGCCTGTTCAGATTCTTCTTGGCCTAGCTGTGCAGCATGTATAGAGCAGGACCCCTTCTGGAATGAGGGTCTTAGGATCTACTATTAGACAAGGTAGGTCCGAGTATTTCTTCATGGCCACCTCTTACACAGAAAGCGAGGGAGGCAGGTTGGAGTACTATTTCTAGGTCATATGACCTCCGTGGGGAAGAGGAATTCTGGTTTCTATGAATTGCTTAGTGGGGAGAAAGTAGGGTGGGAGACAGTCTTTGTTTCTAAGGTGGCTTCAGAGGCCTCTTTAGTTTTTTTAGTTCAAACTTAGCATATCTAAGTGCCATATGTTGGGGTATATTTTTCTGAGCCCCAACAAATCCAAGCTACATTTATTAAACAGCAGGTCCTCTTTTGCTCCTCTCTGGGCAACAAGAGAGCTGGCCTGTGCCTTGGTGTGAACTCTCACTGGTGAGACCAGCCCCACCGCACAAAATGAATTAAGAGCTCCAGGGTCAGAGCTGGGAAGACTTCTTGTAGGAGGGAGGCTTCCATCTATTTCTGAAGATCACACAAGACTTGGATACGCAGAGGGGAAATGAGCGGGTGAGTGAACTGGTTGGGACAAAGGCCCAGGAAGAGTCGAAATGGGGAAGCCTCGGAGTTCAAGCATCTTCTAGAGTGCCTGCTATCCTAAAAATACCCCATCCCTGGCTAAATGGGTGCTTCAGGGAGAAACTGGGAGGAGAGTTAAAGCTCCTAAAAGGAGGGAGAGCGACGGGCTTGGGGATAGATGAACCCTTTTCCCATGCTTGAGCAGTGAGGATGGCGGCCCAGGCGAGGACCCAGTACAGCCTCTGAAACCTATGCAGCTCCAGAAGAGAAAGATGCTAAATTAGGGGCGCTGTCCGCTCTCCTACCCACGCGCCTCCGCGGGCTTTGCGGACCGCAGAGGAATCCAGTGCGAGGGGTACCCTCTGGGCACCATCCCGCAGCGCAGGTGGGGCGTCCCCGCTACGCCCTAGTCAAGCTCTGCGGGGCCGCCTGTGGGCTCCCACGCCTTCAATAGTGACTCCAGCTTCGGCGTGTCTGGCCCAGCCGGGTTCCTCCCTCCGGTCCTCCTCCGTGAGCCGGCTCCCGCGGCCGGGCCTCGGGGCGGGTCCCTGCCGCCCGCACCTGCCCCCAGGGGCGGAGCGCGGCGGCGACAACGCGGCCCCAGCCTCTGCCACCGGCCGCGGAGCCGCGCGGCTCTCCGCTCCTCCCCCCCCCCCCGCCCGTGCACCTCCACTCCGCGGCGCCCGCCCGCCGTCTCTCCCTGTCCACGCGGCCCGTCCGTCCGCTGCTCCGCCCGCCGGAGCCGCGGCGCCTCGCACTTCTGACTCGAGTCCCCGCCGCGCTCGTCGTCGCCGCCGCCACCGCCGCCGCCGCCGCCGGGATCCGCAGCCCCGCGCCATGGAGCCGGCCGCAGGCATCCAGCGCCGCAGCTTCCAGGGGCCGGCCGTCCAGCCGCCGCCTCGGGGCCACGCGCCCCCGGCCGCCGCCCCCGGCCCGGCCCAGCTGAGCTCCCCGACGCGCGAGCCGCCGCAGCTGGAGGAGGAGCGGCAGGTGCGGATCAGCGAGAGCGGCCAGTTCAGCGACGGGCTGGAGGACCGAGGTGAGCGCTTGCCGCCCGGCCCGGCCGGCGACGGGGGCGGCTGCTCGGGACCCGCCTCTCCCCACTCGCAGGCTGCGCTGGGCCGGGCGCCGGGCTCGGCGCCTTGGAGCGCGCGGGGGCGCGGAGCCTGGACTTCCCGGCGAGGGCGCGGCGAGCCGAGAGCGGCAGCCCCACCTCCTGCGGCCGGCACCGCCTCGGCTGCGTTCCTTCCCTTCCCTCGAAGCCCAGACCCTGGCTGCCTCCAGGCCGACACCGCCTGAACCCGCGCCCTCCTCTCCGCCAGCTCCAGCCCCTCCTGCGCCCACGGGAAAAGTTTGCGGGAGGCATTTTTTTGCGTTCGGAGCCGAGCGCTCCTGGGCCACTGCGGGCCCTGCTCAGCTCGGAGGGACCCGGGCTCGATGCATCATCCTTTCCGTAGTCCCCTGCGGCCCCGCCGGCTGCCTGGGAGAACTTCCCTCTGCCAGTATAGCTGCGAGTTGTCCCTCGGCGGCAGTCCCGCTGCCCGCCCCGGCGAAGGGCGCTAGTAGAGGAGCGAGCCGGGACCTGGGCCGTCACCGGAGCAGTCTCGGGGTCTCGGGCGGTCACCGACTCTCACCGCGGACCTAGGTCGCGGTGGGTCCCTGCCCCGTCGTCTGATGATGGGGCAGAGTACTGGGACATTTGGATTCGGGCCACCAACCTCATCTGGATGGATGCCACTGAAATCTGATGATTCCGGAGGGAGCGTCTGCAGACCCTTCAGAGCCCCCTCCACTGACACCGGCCTGGAGGCCGGCACACGTGCCTCTGCTGGGGGACCACACTCTGCCTCCCACCGACTGCCGATGCCCCCAGGAGTCGCCAGCGTAGGACTGGAGAGACTCCCTGCTCATTCCCGCGTCTCTCTCCTCCATCCCTTCCGCGTTTCCTTTCAGCTTGGATTCTTTGCAGAGGGAGCCCTGTTCTTGGCCGCGCCTGCACCTTTTCTGCTTCTTGCTGATCCGAATCCAAATTGTACCCCTCAGAACGAAATCTGTGGTTCTGCTAAAACCGCTTAGTGGCCAAAGAGAGATTCTTGCAGCCAGGCCCTTCAGGGGAAGCCGGCTCTTTGCACCTCCACCCCCTTTTCTTGGAAGCCTTATTTTGCTGGCTGTGGCGGGTTTATATATTTTAGACTTAGCAGGTTTTTGTCCTATTCTTAGTATCTCCTGTACATTTTTATTCCGGTTTAGTGTTCGGATGCACGATCTCTTTCTCCTTAGAAATTCTAAACTGTAGCATGTGAAATAAAATGACATGGAAACGGCAGTTCCCAGAGAATCCGCCGAGATGCTCAGCCAGAACTGGAGCTGCTCCAGTGGCAACGAATTCTGCACCTCTGTTGCAGTTTCTCCCCCTGTGCTCACATAACTAGATGCCATTTGAGAAGTGGGGACAGGGGACATCACGAGCACGGAGCAAAACCTCTCACTTTTATTATAGGGTGTGTTCATTACCTTCGCCCCTCTCCAGCTAATGTTGTAGGATTTAAAAATTCCATATTGAAGAAAGACAGAAGCCTGTGTTGAGCTTATTTTTGTAGGACTGCAGGTCATCTGAAGAGCTGGCCTGTTCCTCCCTACCCCCCAAAAGGATAGGAGGGAAAACAGTGCTAGAGTGAGTTCATAGTTAGCATCATTTGGTAGTTCATGTTCAAGTGTAAAAAGCCCTTCTGAATTCATTCTTAAGGTTATTTTTCTCTGGTCAACGGAATTTCATTTTCCATTATATGATAGCATGAAAGCATTGACTGTTCATAAACTGTCACTGTGTGAGAGCATTGCATATCACACACAGCCTCTCTGTTAGGATGAATCCTATTCCCCAAAGAACACAGTGCTGTGTGGCATTGAGAGCTGAACGTCAATGTGATATTCTTTTGTTTGACCTCTTCCTGATGGCAACGTTTATGTGGTGATTAAGTGATTTTTGTTAAATAAACCAGAATATTATCTGGGGAGGTGTATTGTAAGATTCTGTGTTTGTTGTTTGGGTTATTATTTTTTTTTTCTTATGGGCTGCATTTTTCCAATATTGATTTTTGTATCCTTTGGGAATGGCTTGAGTGCAGCTACCTCTCTTCCCGACTGGTGAGGGGAACAGGGGAGGAGGAAGCCCCAGCACTTGCCTGCTGTTTGTCTCATCATCCTGCCTGCCTGGCTTTTTTTAAGGCTTAAATAGCTGTAGGCTGTCTGTAGAATGGTTGGGGGGGGGGTACCTCAGATCTGCACGTGTATTTGGCATTCTCTTTTGTCCTAACTCCCTTTGGAGCTATCAGGATGTGGTTATAGACCATGGCTAACTCTCATCAAAGGCTTGCTTTTAAACCTAGTGTTTTGGGGCTTTGGAGGCATTTTCCCCTTAGAAGTGATGTGGGCTGGTTCTCAGAAACCTAGCTAGCTCAGAATGTCAGTAACTGCAGTGCCGTTTGGTTGAGCTTAAATTTCAGGGAGCAAGAGCTCTGTGGTCTAAGACCTTTAGGGGCTAAACACAGCAATCAGGTCAGGTTTATCTTAATCATTCTTCCCATCCCTCTTGAATACCCATTCTTCTCCCACAAGTATTTCCCCACCATTCTGTCTGTAACCTTAGGGCCCAACTTAGCCTTAGAGAATTATATGTGTCAGCATTTCCCGCTATTTCCCTGTCTAACAAAAATTTCCCTTTCTTCAGAGTTCAAGCTTGACAAACTTAGGAGAAAGGAATTGGAACTAATGCATACTCATGTAGAAATAACTGATTGCTTCAGCCTCTCCACATATATTTGTACCTTCCCCCTCTCCAAAATAAAAGATCAGTTCCTCATTAGTACAGTCCTATACTTAGTATTCCCAGGCCCAACTTGCAAATACAGAAAATTTGAGTGAGTTTACAAATTCAAATATGGGTCCAACTATGGGTAGGGAGGATCCAGCCTTGTCTGCAAATCAGAGGCGGCCTGTTGTAACTTGTATAGGCTGGCCTGCCTTTTCAGGCTGCCTTTCTTCTAGCTTTAAAGCACAGCTTCCTGAAAACATTAGAATTCTCACCACATCTTTGTGACTTGTGAGTGTGCCTGACTAGTGGAGGTACCTGTGTGTGGACCATTCACTAGGAACTGAGTCTTTGTACGTCATCATACTCCACTTCCCCTTGAGGAGTGCAAAGTTTTCCATTCTTAGGATCGGCTATATTTTTAGAAAGAAAAATCAGCAGAACATAAGCAAAGGTTGAATAGAAATGGGAAAGCCTTCCATTTTTGGACAGTCTTCCTGTTGTACTTATTCGATTTTATTTTTTAATTTTAAAAATCTCAGGGAGGAGGCACACACAGGGAAGAAGCACTGGTCGTAATTCTGAGAAGTCCCAAGTGCCACCTTAGGGGGACAGTCCAGGTGTCCTGGGCTATCGTCTGAAAGTCCTCCAGGAGGGTGCTGTTTCACTGGTAGGTGAAGCATGTAGATTGGTCTGCATGTGGAGTCAGGACCATTATATTATTGAAACTCGCTGACTTTAGTTGGAAAAATAATTGTTATGTGACTGACGAGAAAATGGGCATCATTGTCATTCCTCTTAGAAAATGAAATCTACTTCTCAAAGGAAGCTTTTTTTACCCCACTGGATAAACCTCTGGAGATTGTTGCTGTCAAAATACCTAGCAAATGAACTGCTGATTTGAGTCAGTGCTTAAATGTTACAGCTTCACTTCTGCTGAAAATCGATTGGCCAGGATGAAAGGAAGGTTTTTATATCATTTGGGAAAAGGGACATAAATTATTAAGAATGTGTGGAATCTGCTCATTTTAGGATAGTACTATAACTGGTGATTGTATAGATGAAAATTGGAATAGGGTGGTTTTTGGCAGCTAAGAAATAAATAGACAAAGGGACATGCCATAAACTTATTTAAATCACTTGTACCTGGGCAGAATTTGACAAGGGAGAACGTATTTAGTTTTTCCATCCAAGTCCACTTATGAAGGAAAGTTTGGGGAGGCTTTTACAGAGAGAGGATGGTGATGGTGTTTATGCTCAAACATTTGCATTCTCATCTCCCTTTTGATTCTATGTAAGCCTGTAGGTTTCAATTATTTAAAAATCCCTAGGCTGTGAGTTGAGCTCACTCAGCAACCTTCTTGACATTCTGGCTTGCTTTGCTCAGGACTTGTTCAGGGATGCTTGAATGTGCATAAATTATTAAGCACATTCAAAAATTTCAGTTATAAATGGAACTGAAAAATTTTAGCAGAGCCCTGGTTTTAACTTTTGATCAGGATGCAGCTTTTGGCAACCAGAGGCTTAGTGTGGTACCCAGTTGGATGAATGAGATGGTGTCTTTTACGTGATGTGTAGGTGTGCTATGTCTCACACTATGTGATATTTTACAGATTGGTACCTGAGCCTTCATTCTTTGGAGCTGCTCTGATGAGGCTGCCCAACCTCTGAAAGTTGTATCTTGGGTTGTTTCACCAGAGATGGTGTAATAAGCTCCTGTTTATGTAAATGGATGGCTGAAAATGCGGTCCTCTGTGCAACTAAGAGATGCTGTATATAGTCAAAGGATGCTGATCTAAGGATGAAAATATAAATCAAGATCATTCTGAAGAGATTGTAATCTTTTACCCCAGACAGTTATGGGCATTGCCTGGGAGTTGTCATGAATTTCTGTTGTTGTCGAGGACTCTCCATGTTGAAAGCATAGGAGCTAAAAATAAAACTTGTCTTATACAAGGCCTACCTGGGAGGCGACCTCTAGTTTTCGTAGGTTTGCCCCCACTTTAATATTCTGAGAATTTTTTGACATGTGCTTGGTAAAAAGGATGTGTATACTATAGAGCAGAATAAGGAGGGAAGGAAATGTGGCATATAATTTGGGCCTGGAGGCTCTTGCTAGAGGTGGTGAAAGAGAAATGGTTCTTCTCCTTCGGATGGTTGGAGGAGCAATGAGGTCATTTGTAGTCTGACTCCTTGCTTTGGGCAAAACCCAGTCCACCAGTTGGGGCTGTGCTGGTGAATCAATGCAAATCAATGCCCACAGCTGAGGAGCCTGAAGGCCTAGCTGAATGTGGGTGGTTTGTGCTGTTTTCCTAACGGAAAGGCCTTGTGGGCTGGAACAGCATCTACCTGAGGCCGAGCAGCTTAACACAGGGGCAAAGGAATGGCCTGGTGTGATATGTCAGGGAATGGTGGGGTCTGTGGAATTCTTCGAAAGAGGATGGCTGCTGTTACCCTGCAGAAATACATGGCCCATATTGTCAGCGCCTGTGATTTTTCAAGGGGTGCCAGAAAGCTTGATTTTCATGTGAAATCTCCTAATTGTTAAAACACAGTGTGAGCCAAACAAAACACATCTTGGCCCTTGGGCTGTGACTTTGCAATCTTTGGCTAAGTGATTGTAGCTCTTGCTGTGCGTTTCTTAGTAAGGAAATGTCTAACTTCCTTTTCTCCTTGTTTTGGTCAGGCTTGCTAGAAAGCAGCACCCGCCTGAAACCTCATGAAGCCCAGAACTACAGGAAGAAGGCATTGTGGGTGTCCTGGTTCTCCATTATTGTCACCCTGGCCCTAGCGGTGGCTGCCTTTAGTGAGTATCAGGGGTCTCCTGGGCCCATGTGTGCTGCTGTTGCCCGTTTTATTCTCTAATTCCTGTGGGATGTGCTTTTGCTTTTAGTTGACTGTTACTGATGAGTAATTTTTTTCTAGATGGTTGGAAAGTCAGGGTACTTATAAATTAATGAAATGGCTTCTCTCCTCTGCAGAGGGACGAGTGGTAAGAAGGCGAGGTGAAGAGTGGTACTGGGAGCCTTGGCTTGCATCAGTATTTGGGTTTGCGGAAGTAGATGCTGGCTGCTGGCTAAATAGTGAAAATACTCTTGGTGGATGCCTTCAGCTTGGGCTGACACATGACACATATATCTCCTTAAGATTCCTATTTTGAGCCTAATACAAGAAGATGGGTGCAATATTGCAGTGAGCCCTCTCCTTCTCCCTGATCATATCTGTGTAAGTCTTGGAAGAAAATCCTATGCACATTTTAAGGAAAGGAAAATGGGAAGGTCTTCTCTCAAGTTTTTCAGTGGCCATGGAAACAAAAACATGTATTACAATTAAGACAAACTAAGGAAGTGGAACAGTTTCTGCCAGATAATCCTGTTTGGGGTTAGGAAGGCCGATGGCATGTGTTTTCTCGACTAACACATATGTTTTGCAGCCTATGGAAATGTACATGTGCTATTTATTCTTATGAATTGTGCAATGGCTCACAAGCCTAAGCAATGTCAGTTACAGCTCAACCTTGGTAGAAACCCATGGTTTTTTTTTTGATGCTGGGGAGAAGACTGCATTTTGTGACGAATTTATTACCTAATAGAAAGATCGATTTTCTCAGTGATAGGCATCATATAAGGTGTCTCCTGTGACAACCTTCAGATTAGGAGAAAAAAGCCTGTGTTTGCTAGGAGACAAGCTGTGTGTGTGTGTGTGTGTGTGTGTGTGTGTGTGTGTTGTTTAAAATTCTATTCTTCAAGGTTAGATCTGCTGCTGGAAGTTGAGGTTGGTTCCCAAGAGGGAATATTAAAATTTGACCAAATGCTCCCTGCAAAACCAGGCATATATTACTTGAAGCAATTTATGTTGGAAACACTGTACCGTATCTTGGCTCTAACAAAGCCAAACATTTAGAAGCGGAGGGCAATGCATTCCCAAGTATAAACATTTTTACCAGTGAGCCAGAAATCTAATCGAGGGGAATTCTGATTCCTGAAAATAGCTACTCCTTCCCCTTGCCCCCGCTTTTTTAATGCTGAAACAAGAATAACAAGCTGGATTGATGTCCCTAGGGGATAATTTGGTTGCAGTGGCTGGTGGAGGACTTTGGATCAGACACCATAATTTACATATGTAAAGGAAAAGGAAAGGAATGAAGGGAGGCAATTTACAAACAGAATAATAGTAACTCAGACAGGTCCATGTGCCTGATAAAGCTGTTTTGATTTATCACATGGGTGTTTGAATGAGGGCCTGAATGTGAAGAATTAGTGGGCAAGTCTTCTAGGAGAGTAATATTACATTTGATGTACTTAAGTCTCATAATAGACAAAAATTATGAGAAAATTTGATTTCACGTTACACCTGATCAGTTGGGTTATCTTAAAAATGTTACTCATTTCCTTTAATACAGAAAGGCAGTTGCATGGTGCATACAGAATTAGAATATTGCTTTGTGACAAGGGCTTCTCTTTCTTTTAAAAATGATTTTACACCTTCATTGCAGCAAGTATTTAATTTAAATCTTCTAACTTCTAGCCCATAAAATGTTGGCATTGGCATATAATATCATGATTTGTGTTAGCTATAGTACATTCAATTTGTTCTCACGTTACTTTCAATTTGTTCTGGTTTAGTTAAACCAAAAAATGTAGAAGGCGAATTATGTTTTCCCCTACTATAACTATAGAGTAGCTTTAGTGTTTGTGTATGTGTGTGTGTATGTGTGTGTTTCATATTTTAAACCCTTGATGTGGTCTCTGATTGTATTGTTAGGGTTGTTGGTTTTACTATTTAGTTTCCTAAATATATTTCTAATATACAGTATTTAAAATCTCTTCCAAAGCATCGTTTACATGGTGACAGACTTTTGTGAAATTCTCTTCCTAGTTTTGAATGGAAAGAAATAGAGATTAAGCAATGTAAGCTAACTTTTGAAGTTATGTTTAAATTAGCATATGAAGAAAAATGGAACATTTCAAAAATGGCAAAGTTTTTGTAACATGTCACAAAAAGCCCCAGTCCTACTCTTCAAGGAAGGGGGTAGTTAACAAAGATGGATAAGTACAATGCTCCGACTTGCTGCACCTCTGTCCAAACCAGTCAAATGGCTGAGTTGAATCGATTAGTATTTTTAAGATTGCTATAGAATTACTATATGTGATGCTTTGGTGTGGTGAAGTCCTCGGAGTGTGTGCCTGTGTGCATGTGTGTGTTGTGTGTGTGTATGTGTTGGCAGGGGATGTTAATCAGGATGAAAAGAAAGGGACTGTATTTATGGACGTGGCTTCTTGCTACTGCTGGATGGTGAAAAATTTGGGGCAGGAAGAGCATCCGTCCTTGCATGGAATCGGTAATCAAGATGGAAGTAAATGAACTGAGAGATTTTTAAAAACTTTTTAGTTAGGTGGAAGGACAATATTTTTTGGAAAATGATAAATTCTACCTAAAGATTTACATACAAGGCTGAGGTCTCATTTATTTTATAAACAATTACTATTTTTTGAGGCAATTGGGTCATCCTTCAGCTATTCTCTTGCTAAGGGAGGTGTCTTGGAGCCACATCTCCTGGGGTCAGCTGGAGTTCCTGTCTTCACCTCCTCAGCTGCCATTCTCTATTTATTTAATCATAGTTACTGATTTTTTTTTTTCTGAGACAGAGTTTCACTCTTGTTGCCCAGGCTGGAGTGCAATGGCGCAGTCATGGCTCACTACAACCTCCACCTCTCATATTCAAGCGATTCTCCTGCCTCAGGCTCCTGAGTAGCTGGGAGTACAGGCACGTGCCACCACGCCTGGCTAATTTTTGTATTTTTGGTAGGGATGGAGATTCACCATTTTGGCCAGGCTGGTCTCAAACTCCTGACCTCAGATGACCCACCCACTTCGGCCTCCCAAAGTGCTGGGATTACAGGGATAATAGGCATGAGCCACCTCACTGGCCTAGTTACTGATTTTTAGCTGAGTATATTCTGAAGAAATGCTGTTGGCTTTTTTGAGTTTGGAAATGAGGAGGGTGGATATAGTTGAGGGGCACACCTCTTTTCCTCAGTCAACTGGAAAGATTTTTATTTTTTTTTTTTGAGACGGAGTTTTGCTCTTTTGCCCAAGCTGGAGTGCAATGGTGCGACGTTGCTCACTGCAACTTCTGTCTTCTGGTTACAAGTGATTCTCCTGCCTCAGCCTCCCGAGTAGCTGGGATTACAGGTGCCCACCACCACGCCCAGCTAATTTTTGTATTTTTAGTAGAGATGGGGTTTCACCATGTTGGCCAGGCTGGTCTTGAACTCCTGACATTGTGGTCCACCTGCCTAGGCCTCCCAAAGTGCTGGGATTACAGGCATGAGCCACCATGCCTAGCCAAGATTCTGATTTTTGTACATTGTAGGTTGTGAACCCAAACGTCTCTGAGACAGATCTCAATCAAATTGGAAAGCTTGTTTGCCAAGGTTAAGGATGTGCTTGTGACAGTCTCAGGAGGTCCTGAAAACATGTGCCTGAGGTGGTTGGGGTACAGACTGCTTTAATACTTTTTAAAGAGACGTAATATATCAATGAATATCTGTAAAATGTATATTGATATGATCTGGGAAATTGAGACAATTGGAAGCAGATGGCTTCCGGGTTATAGGTAGATTTAAAAATTTTCTGATTGGCAATTTGTTGAAAGAGTTAAGTTATTATCTGAACACCTGGAATCAATAAAAATGAGTGTCTGGATTCTGATGATTAGTGCATTTATGGGGCTCAATGTTTTATTCTGCAGATGAAGCCTCCTGGTAGCAGACTTCTTAGAGAACACACTGTAAATGTTTCTTATCAGACTGAATGTCTGTGTTGATGCTAATGCTGGTCAGCTTTTCCTGAATTCCAGAAGGGAGGAGGGTACAATTAGGTACCTCTGAGTCCCCTTTCCCATACAGCTGGAAACAGTCTTTCAGGTTAACTTTGGAGTGCCCTTTGCTGAGAGGAGAGGTCCATTCAGATGGCTGGGGAGCCTTAAAATTTCATTTGTATTTTACAAGTTAAAGATTGTTATTCTTCATCTCCTGTAAGCTTCCAGGTAATCAATATGCCGTGTCTTCTCAAGTTAGTAGTTTCTAAAAGACCTGTTGATAAAACTAGCTTATGTCAGTGTCACTGAGTTATTTGTTATAAATCATATGTGTAATTATGATTAGCATTCATATGTCTGGTATAGTTTGAAAATTAGGCGGACTTTCGCAGTTTGTGCCTTGAGTGTGCTTTGAAAGGGATATGAACTATTTTTTAATGTGAACTATTTTTGATAATACTTGGTAATGTAGTGATTTTGGATCTGTTCAAATGCTGATATAAAACCAGATGGTAATACATCTTGAATATTTCAGAGAGAGCTCTAGTTTGGTTTTAAAATTCATTCTGTTTATAATCGGTAGGCAGCATGGAAAATGGCAATCCTGTTATGAACAAATGTGAAAAAAAGTCTGTTTTAATAATGAAGCTAGAAAGAGAACAGAAGTTCTGTCTCAAAACTCAGGGTTTTGACATCATTGATATCTTTGTTACAGTGATTTAGGAAAATGCATTTGTTTTTGAGGTTTGAGTGCAAATTAATTTTCAGGCACTCAATACATGTTCTGCGGGAAATAAAGACATATTTGAAACATCCTCAGGGGAAAACCTTTCCTAAGATACACAGCTTCATTAAAAAAGTACTCCAAACCTGGATACTCTCAGAAAAAGCTCACTCAAAAATTAAGTGCAGCTGTAGATTTAAGAACTAGAAAAGCACCTTGGAAAGGAGTGATTTTTAGATGTGGATACTTTAAAGCATTT